AAACCAGACAAAACAATTCTAAAATTCATATAAAAGATCAGAAGTCCAAGAATGGCCGAGACAAAAGATGTATAAACATAAAAAAGTCTTAAATACTTCACAGAATTTGGAAACAAAGTAAAAATGTATAAACACTATGATCTATCCAATTCCACATATTTCTAGAGAAATTTTTGCACATGGGCAATAAGGGCACATCTACAAGGGTACAACTATCTATATTAGTAAAAATTAGAACCTCAAATACCCATTAATGTAGAGTAGATAAGTAACGTGGGATACAATCATAATATTGGATACTATGAACAGTTACATTCCATATTAAAAACAATTTATAGAATGGTATATACAGTAAGATAGTATTTATATAAGCTTTCAAAACACAAAGTAAAACTTTAACTGATAAATACATGGTCAAAATATAAAATATGGTCTAGGAGGATACACTACAAATCAGGGACAATGGTTTTTGAGAAGAGAGAACAATTGCTTCTAGGGAGAGAAAGGAATGGCACTAAGGAAAGCAACAAAATGGACTGAACTAACTTTAAAACTTGCAGTATAATATTTCTTTCAAATAAATTTTAAATCACCAAGCAAAAAGAAAATATAGATGCCTGTTAATTCTGGGCTGGAGGGTACACAGGTATTTATTATGTTATTTCCTAATTTAACATTTGAAACACATGCTTGATAAAAGTAAGTACTGCTTTACTTACAATGAAACCTGGAACCTTGAATATAAAGAAATTTCATTCCCAAGAATAAGGAAATTCTATAGTTCATTTTATATAGAACACTAGGACACAGTTTTTTGTTCTCCAAGAAAGCTAGCCATATAATCAGAAATCAATATTTTCATGTTGATTTTATGGCAAATAGCAGTTAAGTATAACCTACTAATATTAAGGTGTAATTGTTTTGGAATAAGCAGTCAGAATAGTTTGATCAACTTTATTTATGCCTGGCACATAGTATGTAAAAGTTTAAGAATGCCCATTGATTATATTTTCAACAAATTATACTGTCCACCTCAGTTCTTGATTCCATTTTCAAAGCTCAGAGAAGAGCACACATACCAATGGCGCTGTTCAGCATATATTCTTCTCTGAAGAAATCTTGAGTCATCTTCTGTTTTGCCATTTTAGCTTCTGAGATCGCTAGGAAGGA